GGGCCCCCCCCCCCCCCCCCCCCCCAGTGCACAAATTTTTGTGCACTGGGCCTCTAGTCTATAAAATAAAAGCCTAAGTGACTGTTAACAATGGAAGGACCAGAATGATTCGTCACTATGACGTGCACTGACCACCAGGGGGCAGACATTCAATGCAGGAGCTGCCTCCTGGTGGACAGTGCACTCCCACAGGGGGAGCACCGATCTGCCAGAAGCCAGGCTTACCACTTGCAAGTGCAGTGGCAGTGGTGGGAGCCTCTTCCGCCTCTGGCAGCGCTAAGGCGCAATGAGCCAAGCAGTAAGGAGAGCGAATGGTCCCAGATTGCGAGAGGGCGCAGGCCCGGCTGAGGGATCTCTCCCCCTCAGGAATTTTGTGCATCAGGCCTCTAGTCTGTAACTCCATAGACATAGCTTCTATGTTGCTGCAAAAAACATACTCCAGTTAAGAGTCACTGCATTAGAGAAGCACAAAGCTATTTCTTTCCACCAGATATTTACAGTTTTCACTCAATCTAGGTATAAATTATCCATTAGAGGTCATTTGTACCATATACAATCTTTTTAAAAAATTTTTAATACATTTATTATTTTGCAGCACCAGTTTTCCACTGATGAAAACGACAAAGACATAATATAAAAACAGGTAATGAGTCATAGTGAAATAGAATATATTAAAATCAATAAATTTTACCAATGGAAAATGCAAATGTGACAAAGTTTGTAACACGTTCATTGCCGAGACATAGAAGCAATTCAAATATGTTAAGAAAAATTAATAAAAATATAGATACTTTATGAGTTGACTATTCCTGGTGTCCAATGATGCCGCGAGAAGGGGGTCAATTCTCCGAGTCCAGGGAATGCGATAGGAAAAGCACAGGAAGCCGCGAGTCACAGATGTGCACACTCGAAAAGCTCGCCCAGTCCTACCGGTGCCAGAGCACGCCGCCAGGAGGAGCGTGGAGGCTGGGCTGGGTCCTTGGGAAAGTTCTGGGCAGCAGCTCTCCAGTGGATGCCGCACCAGCAGCAGCTATTGGGCTCCCAGCACTGAGAACCGGCAGCGAGGTCACGTGCGCCCTAATGGGCTCAGCCTGGACCGTGGAGAGAACAGCCAGACGCCACGCGCATGCGCAGTGGTCACGAAGGGCAGAGCCCCCAGGCCACCTCCCCAAGGTGGATGCTTAGAGGTGCGCCAACTCTGCACAAGAGCAACTGGCGGCCAAGACACACTGACTGGCGCTTCTCGCACCCGCGTGGGCGCACACCCGGGTCCCC